CAGTTCGTGAAAAATACATAGTCCTCTAAGAACACACACTCCGGATGAGGGAAAGAGTAAGATCTCAAGTAACACAACAGCAGCTTACAAGGTCAGAGACAACAAAGTCTATTCTTTCCTAACTTTATTGAATGCATTGGGACGTGACATAGATAAACGACAACGGTACATTCGAATAGCTTACTGCTGTTTGAAAGACTTCCGGATCAACATCACAGAATGATTGCTGAAAGCACGACCAAAGAACCACAGAAAATAGGCTAACAAAATTCCTGAGCAGCATCCCTCGTCGTGCCGCTGACGAAAAATGATCCGAAGCGACTGCCAATTTTAAGGCTACGCCATCAACCTTGAGGTTTCCGTTGATCGAACCAAACGACACCTAAATGGTAAATAAATATTTACAGACTTTTACCCACAAAGCAGCACTAAATCATAACAACCGCCTTACCATTGGTATTGTGTAAAAGCCGTTTATTGCTTATAGAATTAATTGAATATCGAAAGTGGTTAATTGAGGGAAACGAAGCAATGATTAGGGCAAACGTAGGAATGTTGCCTCTTATGCATTGCTAAAATATTTGAGCATCAAACATGAAGGGAGTCGGTAATTTTAAGGAAAAGTGAATTAAAAAAGCACGCGTCTATCGTGAATTTGAAGTGAGAAATTGCAGTACTACAAAATTTCCCACTGAGCAGAAGGCGTAGTGTGGCGAGATATCCAATGAGGCTGGATACATATATTCCAAAGAGAACGGTGTAACGCTTTGTCTGGTCCCTGTACACATGGGCTGGCCTTCAGGTCATGCCCAGGTCCATTTGTCCTGTCGTCTTCAGAATACGTGGATCCAACTGTACTTACTGACTCCTTATAACGGCCAGGGGTCTCGGGACGCTACACTGGTGGCAGCGGAACGCCAACTTGCCATCGTTTTTAAATAATGACTCTTAATTATAAAGTGCTACTGAAGACCTCCTGCTCCAGCCGATGTGGGATCTCTCTCTGGGACCTGCTGTTCGTTGGTCGTTTGTTAAAAGCGACATGTTGTCCGAGAAAATCTGCTGCATAACAGACACCGCTGTCTTACTGACAATTAATTGGCCGATTTCAGGAAAAGAGGAGTAGGAACAAGCCGACGAGCAAGGGTCTGATCTGATGTTGCAATGCTTCCGCACCTGCAAATCGCACAATGTCTGGCGATGTATGTCGCTTGTTCTTGGTGTTGATGCCCTGGATTCGAGTCTCTATGAGTCTGATAATCCGTTGGACCCCAAAATCGGGTTCCCTTGGCCCGAAGGTCGAAACTCCTCTTTCCACGACAAGAAGTTTATAACCCAACCAGCAGACAAGAATACAAAGGAATTCTGCATCTTGGTGGAGAAATCCAAGATTAACAAGCGCATTCTGGCGTTGTGCACCAGCAGTCACGAGCTATACATGCGTAGAAGGAAGTCTGACTCTATCGAAGTGCAATAGATGAAGATATAGGCGAAAAGGGGATGTGAATTGAAGGAGGCGCATTTACCTAGGTGACGAAGAATCCCTGAATCCTTCATAACGAAAGCATTTAGACTGACGTCTGCATTTGCCTTGACCTTATTCCCCATTCCACAGACAAGCTAGCAACAACTGAAGCGACACCGCTGTGAACCATCGGGAAAAGTTTCGTGTCGGAATTTCCCATACAAAATCCGTGTTTAGGTGTCGGAAATGATACTACAGTTCTGCATACATACGGGACAGTGGCTCATCCCGTTTGCCCTGTAACAGAAGCATTTTCGACGAGAGTTGCACCGTCTAGTCCTGGAAGCAATTGATGGTGAACAGGTGTATGCGGCCCGCAACCTGGTCGTCAGACCGAACGTAACTCCAGATCCAGTTGAAGGTGTCGAGGAGACCAGGTACAGCTCCTCATTCCCGTGCTCTCTGTCGACTGGCGCGGTTGGCTCGC